ATTGTGATGTTTGTTTTGCTTGAAAATCTAAAGTGATCACCTTTGAAAATAGAAATTCTATTTTTACAAAGCGTACATGATGGGAAATATAGAGTCTATTAGTTTTAGGATTTAAACATCGATATCTCAAGTGAGAAGGACTACAACTAAGAAAAACACATGGAGCATACCAAAAGTCTAATTTATTTTTATTATAAGGTCTTAAAAAAGGGAAGTAAAGACATCAAAATATTCTTAGGAAAGCATAATCCGGGAGTTTCTTAAAAACAATTTCAAATGGAGACTTATTCTTAATAATAAAAGATGAAATCCTATTTATTAAAAATTAATACGACTATTTGAAAACCAAAATGCCGATAACTACAAGGAATCCTAGGTTCACTTAAAAGAGTCAAGTTAGTTTCCATAGTATGACAATGACGTCGTTTAATAGTTCTATTTTATTTTTATGTATGGAAGCACATTATACAATGAGCAACGCCAATTGTTTTGAAAAAGAAATGAAGGTAGCAAAATTCACTCTCCTAATATGTTTGCACTTTTTTTATTTTATAATTAGATTGTCACTCAAATTTTTTTTTAAATTGAAGAAAATATGAAATACTTTTGATTGTTTGCACAAAAAAGTTAAAAATATACTTAGAATGATGATCAATAAAAGTAACATAATATTTATGATCATCATCAATAGAAGTTGGTGATGGTCTCTATACATTACGAAAAATTAGTTTTAAAAATTTAGTACTAACATTAACGAAAAAGCCAAAGATAATCTACTTGCCTTTCCTAGAGGACATAATAGATAAGTGTTTGAAATACAAAAAAAAAAAAAAAAGAGCCAAAGCATTATTTTATATTTTAAATGAAATTAAGAATCTGTTTCTATGGATGTCCTAATCTAGAGTTTCAAATTTATAGAGATGCCTTAACGAATACGCATGAGGAGTGAAATGTTGAGGAAAAATATATAAGTCAACATCACTCAACCAGGAGAATTGGTGTATTGTGTCCTTGATCCTTAACATAAAAGGTAGAAGGGTGAAACTCTCAAAATAAGTTATTATCACAAGCCAATCATTTAACAAAGAGTAAAGGACGAGTTATTTTTTAAGCATGCGATACATTAAATATTTTAAGAGTTTTAGATGATGTTTGAATATGATTAGTGCCAATGTGTTTAATAGGTAAGTACTCAACATTTCTAACGTGTAATTGATTCGAATCTCGATATGGTTCATATGTGTTGAGATTAGCAAGGTCAAGTATTACACAATGCAAAGCACTAATGTTAAGACACCAATGTTGAATTTATGAGCGGGATTAAGCTGCAGAGCATAAAGCTAAATTTGTCGTGGAAGGTTGAGGATGAAGATAGCATTGGGAACAAAATTAGTGTCATATGGTTCCAAAACATAAATAACTAGCACTTATTTTTATTCGCTATTAGAGGCTAAGTGCCTCAATTACCTCTTCTATTACCATTATCATACTTGTTGTGGTATCTCCTACTTCCTTTGCCATGGCAACTTTTGCCTTTACCACATTTTATAGATTTTGATATGTTAAAGGTGCTGTAACTAGATTTTTGAATAAGATTAATAGTGGATGGAGTTAGCAATAGACTAATGCTTTGTGCATCAAAGAATGAATCATATTGATAGTCTTTATTCATGAATGACATGACTGAGTGTAAGAATATAAAGTTCGGTAAATCTTATCGATTCGAGGATGTGTAGATAAAGTAGTAATAATATTTTTGAAGTCTCCCGAAAAGGCCCTTAACCGTGTATAAATTGAAAACTATTATTTAAAGTGGACGACCGATAGCAATGAGTTCCTCACTATGGGATTTTTCCCGTTGAATAAACCGAGAGATGGGCTCCGGTGCAACCTTTGCAAAGCTAAGTGTAAAGTCATGATCTCGCGTATTGGAAGGCAATGCAATGGTATTCTCAAGCACACACCGGATGTCACAAGATGAGTTACAACCAATAATTATAAGGAGAACCTCGATTGAAAGAGATGAGATTAATGTGCTCATGAGTAACAAGTCTTGTGGAATCCATGAAAGGTAGGAAGGATTGATTTAAGGTAAATTCATTTCATTAAAGAAAAGATGGCTACGAGGGCAAGGATTAGAGCCATCTACAAACCCGAAAAGGCCTTATCCTAGTAAGAAGGGCTTCATATAAGTATGCCATAGTAAGAAGTTACTGGAGGTAAGCTTTAGAGAGAGAAAATGATGAGCATTATGCAAGGGACTTAGAGTAGGTTGAGTGGTTGGTGTGGATGAAGTGTTTGGGGAAGGAGAAGTAGTGCTAGAGCTTGCCATTGGTTACAGTAAAGTAGGAAAAAGAAATAGCGTGTTAGAGCCTACTTTGATACCAAATTAAATTCAAGAGAGACAAGTGATAATAATATTCTATGTACATTATTTATCTCTTCGCTCTAAGACACTATTTATACACATTGTAGTTATAAGAATATATTTGGAGGCTTAATAAAATATAATAGATATATACAAAAAGTAAGTGTAGGATTAGATAAAACATTCATTATCCTTATTAGATTATTGTAGTTGTCGTGTGAGAGTTCTTATTATTGCTGGATTTGTAGGTATTGTGAGAGTTGGTAGAGTTGTTGTTATTGTTTGATTCTAATAGTCTTAAAGTTAAAAATGTATATGAAAGGTAAGTGCTAATCCAGATCTTAATCTCAGTGTTTAATTAAGCAAATATTTACTATTAAGATATTAGTCATTCATTTATTTTGAAAGGTTAGATTAAAAAAATGCATGTCATTTTTTCTTTAATGTAAGAGAATCCAAATCTCAAAATAAACATTTCAAACTACAAACACATATGTAGGATTTGTCCAACAAGAATTTGACAACTGATGCTATCAATGCTTAAATTAAAAACCTGTTTTACGAGAATCGCACATGAGAGTAATTGATTAAGGAATAGAGTATACTCTCCATGTGTACGTAGAGAGTTCAAAATTTAATAAATATTATCTTCAATTAAGTTTTGAAATCCAAAACAGAACATACATATGTAAACTCCTGACCAGCACTGCTAATTAATTTGCTATAAATCCATGGTTAACGAACGAAAGATCATTTAACTGGTTAATTTTTTGATTGTTCACCCTCCACCTCAGTATCAACTTGTGATTAAAGAAATTAATTTCAATTTCAACTTATTATTTGTGTCGAATCTCTAATGTTATTCCTCGCTGACTAAAATATATATGTTATGATTTAAAAAGGATCAATGGTTTTAGATTCTGTTGTATGTATTTAATTGGGAATGTTTAATACGTCCTATATATTATTGACATGACACATGACTTCCTTAAATTTCACTCCTTTTAATTCACCTAACTCTCTGATCCTAAATTCAAAGAATTTCCCTTCTCGAGAATATGAGAGCTATGTCCCGTTGTCATTTACTATAACCCCTTTATTATCCTCAACTGTTACCCACCCTTCAAATCCCTATAAAATCCACATCCATGCAACAACTGCTTGCTCAAGTATTACTTCAACATCACAGAGAAATAGATAGAGAGGGAGATGGGTAGTTGGGTTGTGATTTTTGTGCTTGTTTTAGCATTTGTGCATGCAACTGCACGTAAAGTTCCTAGTGATGCTGGTCTTGATGATAGCAATGATGTTGTCCCTAATGAAGAGCAAGTATTGCATGCTAGTGCACCAGTGGCCGAGTCACCTAGCAGCAATGGCGTTAAAGACAAAAAGAATTTCATCTATGGTGGTGTTGGTGGCTTTGCTGGTATGGGAGGCTACGCTGGTATAATTGGTGGACTGCCGGTTATTGGTGGCCTTGGTGGAATTGGCAAATATGGAGGGATTGGAGGGGTTGGTGGAATAGGAGGTGTTACTGGCCTGGGCACGGGTGGTCTTGGTGGCGTAGGAGGTGCAGCTGGTGGTGCTGGTGGTCTAGGTGGTTCGACTCTACCATCCCCTTAATTAAGTCGATAATTTGCTTCAGGTTATTATTGCTTTGTTTGTGTTTTAGTGAACTGTCTGAGACAGGTCGTTTGGCTCAGTACTAGTTATTAGTTACTGTCCTTGTCAAACAGTTGCATCCTTGGAGACATCTTTTGTTTTATGTGTTGTTGTCGCAAAAAAAAAGATGTTTTTTTGTTGTTATCTTATGTTTCAATGCTAATTGTAATGGCTTCCTTTGTATTGTTAGCAAAAACCTGCATGCTTTGTCTCAGCTGGAAATTATCGTTGACAATTGCTTCTCTTCTTTTAATTAGTTGTGATTTGTGAACTAGAAAACAAAACCAGAATCCAAGCATGCATGTCAAAATATTAGGTTTTGGCGTTTAGATTATGACGCTTCTGGCACTACTGTTTGATTTTTGCTCCCATAAGGCCATGATCGATCAAAATTGTTGTGGAAGTAGCCAGGGACCATACCACCATTACATCGCTAGCCTAGCTCATGTATTAAAAAAAAAATTGTTGTCTATTTCAGTGAAAGATACAAAGTTTTAGGTTTGATCTCCATTCTCCACCATGCTGGTCATGTAAAACACTACAGCTATGTATCCGGTTTCTTAAGATATTTGATATTATTCCTTGTAAAATAACTATTTTAATTAAAAAATGTATAACCATTTTAATTTAAAAATTTAAGCTATTAAATAATATTTTAAAAAGAATTTTATATTATTTTCTAACATTATTTTTTGCAAAGACTTGATATTATTTTATATTTAATTATTTAATTTTAATTATTAAAATTCTGATATTATATTAATTAAAAACTATATCAACTCAAGAAATTCAACTATTAAATAAGATTTTAAAAATAATTTTATAATTCAGACGACGCTGTTTAAATCCATATGTAAGAGAGTTTGAATGGTGTGTTTCTTGGCTAAGAAGATGAAACTTGCATGCAGCTCCGGCTAATATTATTTAAATTTATTTTAACAAGAAGTTCTTTGATTGACTATTACATGTGTCAGACAATATCTGAACTCACATTTTGCATGTACACCACCTGTACGGCAGTGTCGCGCAGCAGTTTATATCTGTTAAACGTATGTATTTATTGATCATATATATATATATATATATATATATATATGCCTTGTTCTCTGATGACAACATTATTGATCAGATCTATCGACAAAACTTATTTGTACATTCTGTCCGAAGATAAATGAACATTACACCGGAAGTATTGAAGAACTAATCACTTGATATTAGTAAATTTCAGGGGATAATTAAGAAGGATGACTCCTATCAGACAATATCACATAATGTGTGTGTATTTATTCGAGACAGTATCATAAACTACAAGATAAGAACATCTTTAATGGTCCTCTCTACTTTTCGTTAGTATTTTTAATTTAAATAGAGAATATCATTAATTATATAGATTGAAAATCAATGTTATCTTCAATGATATTCTCTATTTTAACTCTTTATTTTGATAAAATACATAAAAATAGAGATATTATTGGTGAATAGGTTAAATGACATAGAAAATAGTAATTTTCATTAATGAAATATAAGATAAAAAGTTATTTGAACTCTCTATTATTAGAGAGTCAAAAATACTCTATACCTCAATTTTAAAGATAAAGATTATGATAAAGAGAGTATTGAAGATGAAATTTGAGCCAAATCTTTTTATTATAAAAAAATCTTAATATAAAGAGAAGCATCGGATATACTCTAGGTACCGTTAAGGGAATTATACTAGCTAGCTAGCATACGAGAGTGATATGCGTACACAAATGTTGAGATGGACTACTAATGCAACAACCCTAGCTACCACCTGAAAACAAACTTACAAGACACTAAGTTGCACACAACATTAAAGGGTTAATTTATGTATTACAAGATGGAAACATCATGGGGTAGGACTGAAATGGGCACTAACAAATTAAAGCAAGCTGGTCCGGCATTTAACAGACATTTGACAACCTAGCTAGGGGCACCCTTGACCCTGATCGCATTCACCTCCACCGCCACTTCCAACTCCACCACTGCCGCCACCGCCGCCGCCCCCTCCTCCTCCTCCTCCATAGCTGCCACCTCCAAAACCAAAACCACTTCCAAATCCACCTGACCCTCCTCCAACCCCGCCACCGCCTCCGCCCCCACCCGCACAGCCAGAACTACCAGTATTTCCTCCACCATAATTCCCATTTGCATCACCACCACCACATTGATCTTGTCCACCATCAAAGTCCCCATCATTATCATCACAATTGCTAGTACCACTCGTACCTCCAGCTCGATTGGTTCCTGGATAGCCACCATAATCAGTATTGCAACCATCAACCTTACAGTATAAAATATACAGCACAGAGAGGAGGACAATAAACAAATAATATAATTGCTTCATATTTAATTTGGTACTGATAGAAACTATTTTTTGGTTACGCTTGAAATCCAAGTTCACTTATATAGAAGGCAAGCCAGAGAGAAGGTACATTAATCCATTATGTGGCTCATGTGAATCTGAAAAAAGCTATGGAGTTCATGAATCTTCCCCCCGTGAGGACAACTCGTGAAAAACTTCTGTCCTTTTTAGTGTTTTTAACCCATGTCATCAGGGACATAAAATCCAAGGTAAATTTGTCCAGACATTGCCTGCATCAATATCAAGATCAGGGCAGTAGAGGCGTAATGATCAACATGCATCCGTATTCCCACAACGCCCTAACTTCTGCTTCCCAATCTGAAGCGAATTCGAGGGAAATTAAACATAGAGTTTGTCATGCATGTAAATATAGAATCCACTTGCAAGGACTAATATATCCATTTAATACATGCAAACTGATGACTGCCAATGCATTACAAGGGGGAAAAGGTAATATCATGATGTACAGCTAGCGTAATGCAGGACTATGTCCAATAAATCAATTTGTTCCTGAATTACTATTCCTGCCAATCTGTGTGCTACCTGGTTTAATGCTGCTCTAGTTTCAGATCTGAGCTGTTGAATTAAATCAAGAGCTGTAATGGACTGTCCTCGGTGCCTGAGGTCTTCTTGTTGAGAGAATTTACAACCCACAGATTATCATTTGCAAGTCGCAACCTGTACTTTGCAATATTCCACATTCAATGCTGTATTGGAATGCAAACCTCCAAATAGCACCAAAACCAGGAGGAAAAAAAGTGAAAATAAATCTCTAAAATTGACTGTGTCAAGAACATGTTCTGCTTCTTATGCATTTGGATCTGCTATTTGCTGGCTGAAGCTCAGCTAAAAAGGTTGTAGCTAAGAAATTTACCCATCATTATAGGCACTGCATTAAGAGAACATATTCTCAGATTAAAGTAATGCATGACGTCGGAAAGTTGTGTTAGAATTTTTAATAATTAAAGAAGTTGAAATGATGTGTTTAGGAAGAAACTGACTACTTTGGCAGCTCGGAATTCTAATTAACTGCATTTGCCACATCTATTTCGTTTTTTTTTTTTTTTTTTTTTTTGGGGGGGGGGGGGGGGGGGGGGTTGGGGGGATTGGGGTTGGTGTGGTGGGGCGAGGGGGGCGGGGGCCAGCAGTTATATTTTATCCTAATGTAAAATCAGGAACAAGTTGGAGTAACATAATTGATGTTTCTTTCTTTCTTCTTCTTCTTCTTCTTTAAAAGAAAATTGGAAGTTCAATTCTGGAAAGGACTGAACAAGGAAAGTGCAGTTTGTAAGTTGGTAATTTGCAAAGTTATTCAGTTTATTGATAAAGGAATGTAAGGCAACTTGACTTGCCCAATGGCCGCTTCCTTGGCAGATGATTAAGATTTCACTGTCTAATTTTTCTTGCTATTGTTATTATAACAGTCTTCACTAGGTATACAAATCCATTATCCATTGAAGTGCCTCAATGTTCCGTTTTGTACATTGGAATGCAAAGATGGGTTGATTTTGAACCTAGAGGGTTTTTTTTTCTTTTTGGGTCACGAGAATGAGAGGATTAGATCTTTCTAAAAGAAGCCATCACATAAGAAGGAACAAACAATCCCACGTTGGAAAAGAAACACAGCAACTTAAAATATAATTGTCCTGCGCCAGGTCTCAGTCACCGAGCATCGTAACGCGAGCTTCTGACCTAAATGGGGGCTTCAAGTTGATGGAGTCATGGGACATCGTCTTAACCAATGAGCTCAGCTCTGTTGAGCCAATCAACTGGCCCGCCCTGTCCAACCCTGAAGTGAGTCGTGTCACGTGTGGGTCTGGGGAAAGTTAGGCCCGCGTGGTCTCTTAAAGTGGAGGGCACCTTGAGGCTGGTTTAACAGAGCACAGCGAAAAAGTCCCTCTTCAGGCAGTAGGTGGATTACGAGCTGGTGCCACTCAGGTCCAATGTTGATTCATGAGTTTAGATTTTAACTGAACCATCACTTTTTTCTTAATTAAATAGATAAAGGCCAGGCCCAAAATCAACACCCAATTAGCTTAACATTTCTTTTGGTAGGCTGCGATAAAATTAGGAAACACCATGCCAAGCTTGTTGAAAAATAATTAAACATAATATACAATGTACTTATATGTTTATCTATTATTCCAATCGTGTTTGTTTAAATGTATATATACACACACACACTTTAATAGAAGTCACCAACGTATACCTTGTACGTTATTGCATAATGAGCTATACAACATTTTTATATCCATATCAAAAACAAATTTTAAAATAATTATTTTAAAAGATCATGTAAAAAAATTCAAAAAATAGAATAACCAAAAATATATTTCGTGCATTGATGTAAGGTTAACTAAACAAATCTAAACATAAAGTTTACAAAATTGAGCAATATAATATTGCTAATTTAGATATTGTTTGATACAAACATGCATGTATTTTATTATAAATATGTATAATAACTAATAATTAAAATAATGATTTGACATTTTTTTTGAATTTTGGATGATTAATTTCTACCATATGTTCTTCATTTATAGTTTTGTTAATGAGATAGAGAGATAATCCAAAACACAAAGATAAAAAGGTTTTGTCAAATTGAAATGAATTTGGATTATTTCAAAACCTATTTGGCAAAAGATAGGAATAAAAATTACACATGACAAAACTTAAATAATCAAAACAAAGTGAAAATCATAAAATAAGGATTAAAAGACAACTTTCACTAAAAGCTAGAAAAGACTTATGAACAATAAGATTAAAAAATCCATTATGCATAAGGTATAAATAAAGATCAAACATGATAAAACTTTAATGAAAAAAATTACAAAATAGGAACCAAAATAGTAAGAAAATTTTTACTAAAAGCCAAAAATTTTTAGAAAAAGTGAGACTATATTTAATTTTAGTATAAAAAGGAAAAAATCAAATATATTAAAACTTTAATGATCAAAATAAAAGAAAGACCACAAAATAAAGATGAAAACATAACAAAAAGTTTTACTTTAAGTAAAATATATATATATATATATATATCTTTGTAAGGATAGAAATCAAATATAATAAAACTTCAATGACTAAAATAAAAAATAAAATAAAATAGAGACTGAAAAAAAAATCCACTAAAAGCTAAAATAGGGGCATAGCTACATCGAAAGGTTAAATTGTTTTAGTATATTTATTAATATTAACGTTGACACTTAGAAAATGCTCTCTTATTATTCTCATGTTAAATTGATGCAGACACGGACTCACAAGTATTTTATATATGCTCGGTTGGTTTAGTTTAGTTTTTTTTTTTTTAAAAAAAATTAAAAAGTAGGGAAATATTTTTGCATCAGTTTTAGTATCGACCAAGACTAAGTTTAATTTTTTTTTTAGATTAGATCAGCAACAGATCACGTTTAATATTTTATTTATTTTAAAAACTAGATTCATTAAATCCACAAGCAACTCATATCTAATGTCAGACAAAGAAGAAAAAGAGTTTTTCAGAATTAGAATGGAACTCCTACTTTGATAAATCAAAAAAATTTCTATCACCACTCCACCTACAATATTTTAATGGTACTTGATAGAGGTTAGTTTAGAAATCTTTAATATTTTTTGTGTTGTTTAATTATACTTCTAATATAAAATAAGTAAAATAAATAAATAAATTCCAACTTAAACAAAAAAAAATCATTTTTCATTCTCTCTGTTGTAGAGTGGGTTGGAAGAACATAGAAGTTAGGAGCATTTAATTACCAAAATCTTAATTTTGATTAGTGTATAAAAATCTAACAAAGTTATTAGCACTTGCAACCAGAAATAAGATATAATTGAATAGAGAATTTTTAAAATAATTCAGAATTAATTATTGTATACTTACAATAGTTATACTACTCGTCTACTTTTAAAAAGAAAGATAGATAAAAAAAAAATCACATGTGGATTAAAAAAATGATAAAATATGTTCAACTTAATTCAATTTTTTTTAATTTTTAATTTTTTTAATTTATATCTTTTTCTTATAGAGTAAGTATTGATAGTTAATTATTTTGTGAGTAAAATAAAATTTGTTAAATTGAACGAAGTTGATCTCGAAATCATTGTCTAATTAACACAAGGATCGGAGAATGCCTACTATATTAACTATTAAGTGCTAAATACCTCTTGCCTTAGAGCTAAAAAGTTAAAAAGAGAGTTGCCTTAATTGTTTAGGGAAATATTAGTCTAGTTATAGATATGAAACTCCAATCCGCAGCAGCTAGAACAGGTAGTATGGGCTTAACTAATTATCTTTCCATGCATGCACACAAAAACCGGAAGAAGATTCACTCTAGATGAGTTTCAACTTATGGCCGAGGGTCCAAATTCCAACAGCTAGCTTAAAGCCCCAATTCCTGTTTATTTGGTCAAGATCTAAAGAACCTAAAGTCTCTTCCGAATATTCTTTTTTGTACAAAAGACGAATATCTAGTTTAACGCCTTAGGCCCAGAAAACATGCCTCCAAAATGCTTGTTCTTAATTATACTCCACAAAAAATCAGATGATGCAATGCTGTAAGACCAACATGTCCGTGCTTATCTACATGACTACATGTGTTGATTACAGAAGCAACAATCAGTAATTTATTATAAGTACATGCTTTCGTGCAATTATATATGTATAGCTCGATTTATCATGACCTTTACGCCTCCTCCACGAGTGAATATATAGAAGTATCGTCTTTGCCACAACCATGCACTAGTACAAGGAAAATTAAATCGCTCCCTACACTAGTGACTAGAAATTATGGGTCATTCGCTTTTCATTTGCTCAACAATTATGCTTCTTATAAGCATTGCCCTCTGTGTCCAATCAGCAAGGCCTCCTCCAACTTCGGTACCGCATTCTCCCTCGCCATCACCTTCCGTCGGCGGCCTTGTTGGTGGTGGAGCTGGAGGTGGAGGTGGAGGTGGAGGTGGTGGGGGTGGTAGTGGCGCAGGTGGTTCTGGCTCTGGGTTTGGCTCTGGTAGCGGCTCCGGTAGCGATGCTAGTGGTGGAAGCTATGGCGGAGGAGGTAGGGGTGGAGGTGGTGGAGTCGGTGTAGGTGGTGGTAGTGGTTCTGGTTCTGGAGAAGGCTATGGCGAAGGTTACAGTGGTGGTGCTGGCGGCGGCGCTGGTGGTTCTCCAGGGGAAGGTGGTCCATGAGTTCACCTTTACCTAGCTCTCATTAGTGAGAAATCACCACTATCTGTGTGCTTGTTTCTACTCGGCTACTGCCTACTTGCTATGTACCATGCATGGTTGTGTTTCTTAGTATCAATAAATTAATGTAATAATGTACGTGTAACAATATTGTTACGCAATCGAAGTGTTCGTTACGTTTAAGGTAAAAGCTGGCTGTGATAATTACTTATTCAAGCTTTGATAATATATATTTTAGCCCTGAGTCCATCAATGTAATCCTAGAGTTTTCGTCACTAGCTTCGATAGATGACTGGCCATGAATAATAAAATGTAAGATATCTCAACTCTTTCAAGATTAATGAACCTAAAAACCCAGGGAATTAAGGAGGTACCTCCAACATAATATGAGTCCAAGTACGTCGAATGTTTCAGCTCTCGCAATAAAAAGCTTATCTCCCCTTTGAAATGTACCGGAAAGTAAACCTTATAGTGAGTATCTCTAGAAGCCTCCAAGAGATCAAATTCAAGGTGACCGAAAGAAGGGAAACTTGATTACTCTTTGAAGCCAATTTGTTATTTGATCTGCAGGTTTGCGTAGCTCATGGCACGCCGAGATGTTGAAGGAAAGGAAAACGAGAAAGTCACATCAGATTTTTTTTTTTTAATTTTTTTATCCTTAAGTTTCTTAGTTTAAAAGATCAGAGTAATTTCTTATTATTTGATTAAACGTATAAGACGTATATAATTATTAAAACAAAATTTATATATACAAAAATTTAAAATAAGATCATTTATCTCATGTTTTTAAATTTGTCAAAAAGGAAAGATGTTATACTTGTCATGTGTATTATTTATTTTTGGTCTTTAAACTTCTATTTTTCTTATATTTTCTATAAGTCTTGAAACATATACTAGGAGCCTGTTTGGTATTAAATGTACATACAATCTAAGAGATTCGCGTTATATATTTCCTCATCTAATTTGGTTAATCAAGATAGGCTTTTTGACAATATCTCTTAAGTTTATGTTAAACAAATATCTAGATTAGTTTCAAGGCTAATATCTAGTACTAACTTAATTTCCTTTTCCTTTGTCTATTTTATCTCTTTTTCTTAATATATCTAATATATCTTGTAATTTTTAAAGCACAAAACTTCTGTGTTTAGATAATTCAAAAGCTTATTTTATATTACTTCTAAAATATTCTACTACTATTCATAAATACTCAGCTTCTATTAATTTTAGAACCTGTTCTTTCTCTTTTTATATGGTCCTCTATGATAGTTATTCTTATTTTATTTTTTTTCATAAATAGAGACATATAAAGGTTTCATCTTCTAACTGGATATAATAAACTACCATGCACCAAAACAGTAACTAAAACTTCGTAAGGAGTGGCCCACTCTGTCTTCCACAGTCGTAAAAGAATATTTATAAACATCGTGTCTTAACTGATGCTTTGAGCAGTGTACCTTCGGTTGCCACTTCTGGTGATCTTTCATGCCTCGTACGTTTTTTATTTTTTTTGGTTTCGATAATCACTGATGATTTAACTACATGTTAATAGTTCATTGGTAACCAAATATCGATTTATAATCAGATTTAGAGTTTAATTTTTATAATCATTATTTTTAAAAATTTATTTTTAAACTATTTAAAATTGTATGTTGTACAGTATATTTTAATAACATTCAGAAATAAATTAATCTCTATATGTACGAAAGCTAATCTTATTACTTTTTTATTGTTGAAGGAAAAAAACATCAATAATGCTTTTATAGTACCTACCTCAACTTTTCTTTGCTCCATGCATTTAGTATATTTTTGTGTCTGGTATGATATCTGATAGTTCTTTCAAGATTGCAATTAAAAAAATGAATCTTTATTTATTAAGATAATATTTTAAGGTTTGATAAACACTAAGGATTTATTAGTGATCATAAGATATGGTACTCTCTTTATGCTAGAGGATTTCTAAGCTTGTGTACTATAGAGCTTTTTACAAGTCTCAGATGGATGTGTTCTACTTAGCAAATGCCAAGAGTTCCTTATGCATACCTCATAAGGAATCTTAACTTACATCATTGTTTATGTTTCTTCAAGGTTTTGAGCCTTTGTTATTATCGAGTCATAACGTCATTGTTACTTTTTTATTTTGAGAAAATCTCTAATTTTTTTTATGTTTCAAAGACATCATTATCTTCATCTTCTAGCGGATGACGAATGTTACATAAATAGTCCTCTCTTGGGCTAAAGAGTTAGCAATGCCTTGCTTTTATAGTGCATGCATGCCATGTGAAGTTAATTCTATGTTTGTTAGAGCAGAGTACCAGGCTGTTAATTCTTCTTTATCTTTTTTTAATCTCTTTTTAATTTTACAATTAGACAAGTAAAGATTCATATTGTTGGTTTATATTTTTACACCGATACTTTATCTCTTCAGAGTGTAATAATCCACAAAGGTGATTATATATATCCCTTAGCTCTTTTTTTTTTTTAGAATATAGTTGATATTTTTTTTTCTTTAGTGAAATACTAGATTTTTTATCCACGCTACGCTACGGATAGGATAAAATATATAAAATTATTTTAATTTGATAAGGTGTTTTATGATGTGAATGTATAACAATATATAAAGGCGAACAAAATATTTTAAATTTTTTTAATGTAATTTGAAATTAAATGGATGAGAATTTTTAAAAAATGACAAATTAAAGTAGTAAATTTTAAATAATAAAAATAATCAACAAAAAACACTAAAACAAAATGGGGTCAAATTACAATACCATTAAAGTTTCAAATTAAAAAAAAATATATTGTATAAAAAATTGAGGACCATATAATTTTAAATTAATTGAATGAGAAAAGAATGAATAATATTAAAATAAATAAAAACTATCATTAAATGTAAATTTAAATTAATTGGATAAGAATTTGAAAAAAAAATGACAAATTAAAGTTATAGATTTAAAATAATAAAAATAATAAAACAAATAAAACAAATGGGCTAAATCACAATAAAATTAATATAACTAGATATATATATATACTCTCTCTCTCTCTCTCTCTCTCTCTCTCTCTCTCTCTCTCTCTCTCTCTCTCTCTCTCTCTATATATATATATATATATATATATATATATATATAGGGAGAGAAGTGCCTCGGTTGCAAGCCAAGTAGGACGGGCACTCGGTTGGCTTGTGTAACCGAGCTACACATAATTTTTTTTAAAAAAAAAATTAATCAAGGGAGGCCGGCGTGCTTGGGCTCGCTATTGCAAGCCCACGGGCCAGGCTTGCCTCGCCCAAAAAAAACAAAAAACTCTACAACTTCCAACGAACCGGAGGTCATCGAAAATTCATCGAAAAATCGAGAGTCAACTTTCAAACCCCTAAAAATTGAATTTTGACATCATTTTTTTCCCCCGACACCTCTAAATGACCAAAATGAAGCCAATAAACATATCTAAAACTTTAAAAATCATATTAATACACACAAAAATAAAGAAAAATACAAAATCAAATCGAATTTTTTTTTCTTTTTTTGGCTCCAATCTACCTCCTCTAATTGTTCAATGGCTTAAAACGAATATGGACAAACTCATTTTTCGAAGATAAACAAATCTAGTGGATTTTCGTCGACTAGAGTGGCCTAAATAAGGTTGGTCGGTGATCTCTCTCTCTCTCCCGTCTCTCTCTTCCTCTCAGCTTTCTCTCTCCACCCAAGGACCAAAATGGATGAGCAAATGAACATGTGGATCGAAATGTGCTTTCGAAAATATCAAGGATCAAAGTGTAAAAAAAGTTATGAATAGTGTCGCTACGCGACGTCGGACGGGACCCCCAAAAGAGAAAAAAAAATTGGTAGTTTGGATGTTGATTAATCAAAATCATTTACGAGTTTTGGAGTCGCCACCTAGTATTTCGAGAACTAGGAACCTAAAAGCGACATTGGTTCGGAGATTCTTAAGGTAATGAGTTGGTTACGCTTTTGGGAAGATATTAAATCACCTAAAAGCGCCCTTTTCGAAAAAAGGTATCATGTACGGTTTAGTTCCGAATTACCCCCTAAAATCCATTTCAAGCTATTTTCCGAATTTTAATCTCCTATCTTTTAGCTTAAATAATTTTTTTGTTTTGGGCGTGGCATCGTATTGAAACGATCGTCGGTCCCCTTCGTTAGGTGACACGTCGATTCAAACATCGGATCCACTAAAAAGCCTCGATACAACCGGCGTGTCGGAGGACGTCTTAATTAAAAGTGATTTTGATGACGTCGCCCCTATCAAATAGGAGGCTTCGTCGAAATGTTTAGACATTTTTTTTTTATGATGTCGATCCCTATTAGGTAGGAGACTTCGTCAAGATTTTTTATTTATTTTTATTTTTTAAAAAAACAATGTATATTAAAGAATAAAAAATTGAAATAGCAATTCTAAATTAATATAAAAAAACGACAAGGAATAAAAATAAACGAAGCTAAAAAATAAAAATAAATAAATCAAAAAAAAATCATCCTATATAAACGAAGTTAAAAAAATAAATGAAAAAAATAATAAAAAAAGTAATAAAAAAAATCCTACACCTAAAATATTAACCCACCACTTTTACTCCTTTTTTTTTTTTTTTTACACCTATCGCTATTTTTTCCTTTTTTTCTTCCTATTTTTTTTCTTTTTTCTTCTTATTTTTTTTTCCTAACTCTCTTTTTATTTTTCATTTCCCCTTCTTTTTTTTTTTAAGAAAAGGCGTGGGTTGGGCCCCTTTTTTTTTGGGTAAAGGATGGCCCTCTTTTCTTTGGTTTTTTTTTTTGCATCGAGTCGGGTCGAGCTGAAATCAGCCCACCCCTCTGTCGTTTTCTTTAGGCCGCGGGTCGGGTCGGACCTCAAGCCCGAAAACGGACCCGTTTCTTTTTTTTTTTAATTTTCGGATAAAAAACCAAAATTTTTCAGCTTTAAACTTTCTCTCTCCTGTTCTTCGTGTTCTTCATTTTCTCTCTCTAGTTCTTCAAATTTTTCAAAAA